AAAAAAAAAAAAAAAAAAAAAAAGATCCCTAACCTCCTCTAACCAGATCCCTAACCTCCTCTCTAACCAGATCCCTAACCTCCTCTAACCAGATCCCTAACCTCCTCTAACCAGATCCCTAAGTTCCTCTCTAACCAGATCCCTAACCTCCTCTCTAACCAGATCCCTAACCTCCTCTAACCAGATCCCTAACTTGGACAGTGTGCTGCTGAACACGTGTAACTGTTGACTGCTGAGCATATGCTTTTTTTTTTTTTGGAGACAAGAGTCTTGCTGGGTCACCCAGGCAGGAGTGCAGTGGCACAATCTTGGCTCATTGCAACCTCTGCCTCCCGGGTTCAAGCAATTCTCCTACCTTAGCCTCCCAAGTAGCTGGGACTACCGGCATGCCACCACACCCAGCTAATTTTTGGTATTTTAGTAGAGACAGGGTTTCACTGTGTTGTCCAGGCTGGTCTCAAACTTCTGAGCTCAGGCAATTTGCCCGTCTTGGCCTCCCAAAGTGCTAGGATTACAGGCATGGGCCACCAAGCCGGCCTGCACGTGTCTTTAATCAGGAAACCAACAATTTTTTTTTGAGACAGGGTCTCAGTCACCCAGGCTGAGTGCTGTGATGCAATCACAGCTCACTGCAGCCCTGACCTCCCAGGTTCAAGGGATCTTCCCATTTCAGCCTCCCAAGGAGCTGGGATTATAGGTGTGTGCCACCACGATTGGCAAATTTTTGTAGAGACCGGGTTTCACCACGTTGCCCAGGCGGGTCTCAAACTCCTGGGCTCAAGGGATCCAACCGCCTCAGCCTCCCAAAGTGCTGGGATTGCAGGTGTGAGTCACTGCACCTGACTACAGCTATTCTGATTGTTGAGAAATAATTCATCTGATATCCCACCCTGCCTGGGCTGCAGGAGCATCAGACACCACCTGCCCCTGTGTCAGTCCCGCTCTTGGTTCTCCACTGCCAGCCTTTCCTTGTGCTGGTCCGGGGATGGTGGGGCATACCAGCTGCAGGTGAGTGGCGTGTTCTGCATTTCCTCACACCTGCCACTTTGGGCAGAGTGGAGGCTGTGGGGAGGGTTTCCCTCCGTCCAGTGTCTTTCAAAGTCCTGTCAACAGGCACTAGCATAGATGGGGCAGTCACCACCTCCTGCTTGGCCTTGTCGGGACACCTGGGACCCCACAGCATCAATGGGGAGGAGCACTGTTTCTTGCCCCTCCCCACCCCCAGATGGCATGAGGCCGGGTCATCTGGTGCTCAGGACCAATGTCCAGACCAGGACTAGGACACTGTCCTACAGCTGGGGCATAAGAAACCCAGTTCTTAGCCATGCGTGGTGGTGTGCACCTGTAATTCTAGTTACTCAGGAGGCTGAGGCAGGAGAATCACTTGAACCAGCGAGGTGGAGGTTGCAGTGAGCTGAGATGGCGCCACTGCACTCCAGCCAGGGGGACAGAGCAAGACTCTGTCTCAGAAAAAAAAAGCCTAGTACTTTCTGACCCTAACCAACTGTCCACTCCAGCTCAGGCCCAACCGTGGGTGGAGACATCCCCCTTTTGCCTCCAGGGGGATGGGTGGAAACGGGGCCCCTTCATGTTTGTTGGCAGCAGAGGCCTAGGTTCGGGCCTAAATGTGCTTCAACTCATTCTGCATTTGACGTCTACAGTGCCCACCGACCGGTGTGGGTACAGGGACTCGAAGACAGCTTCAAAATACCCTGCACTAAACAATGTTCCCTTCTCCCACCTGAGATGGGGAATCCAAGCCCATCCGGACCCAGTACTTGGCAGGTAGGTGAGAGCTGAGTGCACGGACAGTAGCAGCAGAGTCGAGGAGGGAGCCTCCTAGGGAGACGTGCCATTCAACCAGCCTCTCAAGACTGGGGAGCTGGCTGGTATCAGGAGTTCTACACTCCTGCGCTCCAGGGAACAGAGATGCTGACTGTGCACTCCAAGACCCTCCCCAGGAGGTGCCCTGAGGTTACATCCCTGAACGAGACAGAGGGCAGGGCAAGTGCCGTGCTAGGGATCTCCTAGCTGGAGATCTCGACCAGCTGGGAACCCAGCGCCGCGGGTGCCCATGTTTCTCCCTGCCTGTCTTCTCTACCGCAACTCAGGGATCCTCGTCTGAAGGAATGAAGGGGAAGGTGGAGCTCAAAGGTCACGGTCTGCTAGGAGGCTGCACGGTCTCTCTTCCCTGGACTGGTCAGGGCTGCCTATTAAGCTGGGCTAGGGGGAGGCTCTTGGGAGATGGCACACTAGCGGTCCGCGGGTCCAGCCCAGCTCTGGACGCCAAATCCTTGGCGTCCTGGACTTCGGCTGTTCCTTCTTGGACTGGGAGGTGGAGCGGACAGGGTGTGGCCCAGGGTAGGAAACCCGGCCCTTGCGACGCCCGGGACCCCAGGGGCTGCTTAGGCCACAGCGAAGCGAGGGGTCCCCCTGCGCCCACGCAGGACCACACCCACCCCTCCCGCTGAGACCGGAGGACGCTGTACTCGTGCGGTGGGGGGTGCTGTGCCTGCTGCGCCGCCACACAGACTACTGCACCCGCATCCAGGGCCCGGCGTGGCTCTGTCCTTCGGGGCGGGATCCTGCGCTCCCGTCCTCTCAGTGGTGGTCGGGCCCCCGACGCCGAGCAGCGCGGTGTCTGGGGAGCGCCGCGTGGTGCCGCGGAAGGGGCCTCAGGGCTGCGCGTGCCAGGGTGCAGCCGCAGAAGGCAGAGCCACAGAGCAGGCGGAGGCCGGCGCGAGGCCACGGCCGGGTGCGACCCTCCATCCCAGCGTCCGCTGACTTGCCCTTGGAGCCGCAAGCTCCCAGGAGCCGTTTTCTACTCGTGGGTGCAGGACTTGATCCCAGAAAAGTTCCGGACACAGCCGCTGCTGCTACCGCTCGGAGACGAAAAGACAATCACCGCGCGAGCGCAACCCGCTCCCTCGGCTCCCGCGGGCGCCACGCTGCGAGCCGCGGCGTCTACCGACCGACTGGACCCAGGATGCAGCGCGCCCCGAGGAGCCCTCCGCCGCAGTGCACGCCGGGACCGGTAGTCCGCGCCTTCGGGTGTGGACAGCCCGGTGCACGCCGGGATCGGTAGTCCCCGACAGAGTACGGGCCGGCCCGGTGCACGCTGGTATCGGTAGTCCACGCCCCAGCGTGCAGGCCGCCCCGGTGCACGCCGGAACCGGTAGTCTGCGGTGGCACGGTCCGCCCCTCACCTGGCCGGCCGCGGGCGCCGAAGGGCCCAATGGGAGCCGCGGCCTGGCCGCCCCGCCCCGCGCTCCGGGACGTCTGTGCCGGGACCAGGCCGCCGGCGGTGCCGAGTCTTTGAGCTGAGCGCCTGCAGTCCGGGGTCAACCGCCGCCGTCAACCGTCCGCGCGGGCCGGGCCTGAGGCGCCGCCGGCTCGGCGAAGAGAGGCAGCCGCGGCGGAGAAGGAGGAAGAGGCAGCGCAGGAGGCCGGAGCGGCCGCCGCGCCCGGGCACATGGCGTCCATCTTACTGAGGAGCTGCCGCGGCCGGGCGCCCGCCCGCCTCCGTTCGTCGCCCCGGGCCACCGCCCCGCGGGGTAAGCGGTGGGCGCCCCAGGGCGGGGCTGGCTGTCACGGCGATGCGGGGGGCCCGGTGGTCCCGTTGCGGGCGGGGCCGCCAGCGCTGGGCGGCGCCGCTGGGCCTCTGCCTCGCTGTGACCTCAGGCGGCCGGTCCCCGCGGGTCACCGCCGCCCAGGCAGGCCTGGGAAAGTTCGGACGGGCTGGGCAGCGCCGGCGCACCCTGCGGGAGTAAGCTGCGTGGAGCGCGCCGTCCGCGCACCAGCACGGCCGTGCCGTTAGCCACGTCGGGGGTCCCCGAGACGAGCCTTGGGTGGGCAGCGGGCAGGACCTGGGGGCTGCGGGAGCCCTCCCCGCCCGTCACCGACGAGGTGATGCCAACCCCTGCGGGGCGATGAAGCCGCGACCTGCACTCAGGGGCACGCGGACTCCGGCTCCGGGGAGGGTCCTCAGGCGCGTGGCCTTAGCCACCCTAGCCTAAGGAGCTGTCTGGAGCGGATGCTCTCCCAGGGTGTGCCCAACTCCTCCCTCTTTCTCTAATTAACCAACTTATCTCAGTTTATGTCCTTATTTGTAAAATTGGCATACACATAAAACTTGCTAAGAGAGACTCAAGTAAAATAATTGAGTGCAGTGGTGCAGTCATACTCACGACCCCTCAAACTCCTGGGCTCAAGCTGTCCTTCTGCCTCAGCCTCCCAAGTTGCTATTTGTGCCACACAACACCCACCTAATTTTTTTTTTTGGTAATTTTTTTTGTAGAGACAGAGTCTTGATATTTTTTTTTTTTTTTTTTTTGAGGGAGTTTCGCTCTTGTTACCCAGGCTGGAGTGCAATGGCACGATCTCGGCTCACCGCAACCTCCGCCTCCTGGGTTCAGGCAATTCTCCTGCCTCAGCCTCCTGAGTAGCTGGGATTACAGGCACGCACCACCATGCCCAGCTAGTTTTTTGTATTTTTAGTAGAGACGGGGTTTCACCATGTTGACCAGGATGGTCTCGATCTCTTGACCTCGTGATCCACCCGCCTCGGCCTCCCAAAGTGCTGGGATTACAGGCTTGAGCCACCGCGCCCGGCCTGAGTCTTGATATGTTGGCCAGCCTGGTCTTGAACTCCTCAACTCAGGTGATCCTCCTGCAATTCTTGTCTGTTTTCCTCCTTCCCCTAGAGAGAGAGATTGAAGTTGCCCGTATCCTCTCCCAAGTCTTTTTTTTTTTTTTTTTTTTTTTGGAGACAGAGTCTCTTACCTGTTGCCTAGGTTGGAGTGCAGTGATGTGATCCTGGCTCACTGCAACCTCAGTCTCCCAGGTTCCAGCGATTCTTCTGCCTCCCAAGTAGCTGGGATTACAGGTGCCCACCACAGTGACCAACTAATTTTTGTATTTTCAGTAGAGATGGGATTTCTCCATGTTGGCCTGGATGGTCTCAAACTCCTGTTCTCAAGTAATCCACCCACCTGGGCCTTCCAGAGTGCTGGGATTACAGGTGTGAGCCACCGTGCACAGCCCCCAATTCTCGTAATTTTTCACAATAATGGCTGGTTAGCCACTGAGAGTTTTGGAGTGGTGGGAGGGCGCTGAGTGGTGGTAACGCACAGTGTGAAGGTGAAGCTCAGCATTTCATCTTTCTAGTTGCTGTATTAAATGTTAGAGCTCTCTCTGGACCTCCTGATAGTGATAAAAGTACTTTTGCCACTTCGTGCTTATGTCACAGGTTTTTGGCAAAAAAATAGTAATAATTAGCTTTTTATGTGTCGTTCTGTCATTTCAGGAACACAGACGTCTTCTATAGTTATCACTGCGCTTTGTGACAGGGACTCTAAGGGGCTGATAATGGGTTAGTCAGCAGGTGTGCTGTAGGAACAGTAGGGATTTCACAGCCAGTGAGACGCATGGCTGGACTGTGGAGGAGGCTCCTGAACCCCTGTGAGTGGTACCCCAAATGGAGGTCTGCAGGCCCCTGCTCTTAGCGTCTTACATGAGTAAGGTTCATTGTCACAGCGAGTGGACCTGTTACTGTTCACCGAAGTCCATAACTTACTCTGCTTTTCTTTTCTCTCCCGCTCTTCATTCTGAGGGCCTTTTCTGTCCTGGGACCCATCTACACCGCCCTCCTTGATTGTCTCTCAGGCTTTCCTTGTCCGCAGTGACCTTGCCAGCTTTGAGGAGGACTGCTCAGATGGGGTGTAAGGTGCTGCTCTACTGGTATTTCTTGATGTTTCCTCATAATTAAGCTGGGAAATATGATTTTTCGGTAGGAAGACCACAGAGGTGGAGCGTTCTCATCACGTCACATCAAGGCTCCATGCTGTCAGAATGATTTGTCACTGTGGATGTTGACCTTGATGAGTAGGCTGAAGTGGTGTTGGTCAGGTTTTCCACTACCCAGTTACTCTTCTCCGCCTCTCCATATCGTCCTCTTCGGAAGGAAGTCGATATTGAGTAGAGGCAGGGTCGACTCTAAGGGCTGTGTGGGAGAGGTGACCTCTGGCCTGAGCCGCCTGGGGACAACAGAGCCATTTGTTGAAACTGGAAAAGACTTGGGGAAGAGCAGAGTGGGGAAGCGATTTGAGAGTTCTTGGAGGTGTTGACTGTGCGGAGTCCATCAGACCTGGGGGCGCTTTGGGAGGAGGTGGAGGTCAGGTAGGGAGGATCTCCCAGTAGTGGCCAGGGGATCCTGGAAGCCAGGGGAAGAAAGGTATGTAATGGTAAGAAATACATTTAGTCTTTGTCCTGATGGCATTAGCACTGAGGCCTGAAAACCCTGGAACTTTCCTGAATGATGGGAGTGTCTTTTTTCATTTGTTTTTTGAGGCAGGGTCTTGCTCTCTTGCCCAGGCTGGAGTACAGTAGCTTGATCATGGCTCACTGCAGCCTCTAAGCAATCCTCCTGCCGGCTGATTTTTTATTTTTTATAGAGATAGGGTCTCTGCATGTTGCCCAGGCTGAACTCCTGAGCTCAACAACAATCCTCCCCCACCTTGGCCTCCCAAAGTGCTAGGATTACAAGCATGAGCTTGGGAGTGTCTTCTTTCATTCATTATCACTGCAGCTGAGGTTATGCTAATGCAGTGACTCCAGGCAGGCCCTGAGCGTGCTGTGGTTAGAGGGCCATTCCAGGGAGGGGAGAGGGTTTGGCGAGTTAGTTCAGTCCCCATGGCCAGTGGGCCGGTACTGTAATCAATCATGAAGCCTTGATGAGAACTCCTGGGTGAGCAGACTGGCGAGGCTTCTCACTGGTGTGTACCCACTCCACAGCACCCAAGGATCCTGTGCTTAGGACCTCCCTGGCCTCGGTGTCTTGGCCTCTCTCTCTGGTTGTTCTTGGATACCCTTTATAATGAACTGTAATAGTAAGTAGAACCCATTGCTGACATGTGAGCCATTCTAGTGAATTTTCAAAACCAAAGTGGTCATGGGAACCCCCTACTTTGTAGTCAGCTGAAGTGTAGGTAGCTTGGGTACATGGAGTGGGGGCAGTCTTTTGGGACTGAGCCCTTACCCTGTGGGGTCTGCCCTAATTCTGGGTAGTGTCAGTGTGGAATTACATTGGTGGACTCCCAGTTGGAGAATTGTTGTTGTTGGAAAAAAGAACAGAAGGGCTTCCAGCAGGGCCTGGCCACAGATCATGTCTGTGCTCCTGAGGGACACGGAGCAGTGATCCCCATCACCCTGGATGGCCTTGACTGTGGGTTCCTTGGAGAGCTGGGGACAGAAGCCTTCAGAACAGGTTTTGGGAAGAGCCTAGGAAGGGAGCCAGTGGGACAGGAAGTGTTAGAAAGTGGGGTCACTGGGGGGCAGATCAGGGAGCCCTGGGTGACCTGCCAGCTGTCTGCTTGCTGGGCTAAGCCCTTGAGGCGCAGGAGCTGGCCAGGACAGGGGTGGGAAGCCAAAGGTGCCATGGTGTGGGGAAGATAGCGGAGAATGTGCTGCGCCCTCTTCATGTGAAGAAAGGTAGGGGCCAGAGCTGGTCCTCAGCTGGAGTGAGAGGGTCTTGGTGTGCTCAGTCGCACTGTGTTTATAAATTTTAACTTGTAACTTGATATGTATGAGAACATAGCTAACATCTTCCCCTTAACTGAGCTCCCAATTTACAGACCAGACTGTTACAAGCCCTAAATGTGGCGCATGCTGGGAATTTCCTTCCCCATAGGAGTATGAGAGTTGCCTCCTATTTAATGAGGTGCCTGCCCTCCCCATCTTGTTCCTCTTCACACGGTGGCTCTTGTAGCTGGCCAGAGTGAGCTCCCCGCAACTTACAGCTGCTCCTGCAGCTACCTGGCTGAGGACTCATTGCCACCCCACTACCTGGAGGGTCAAGGCCACTGGGCACCTCAGGGTGCCACCTGCTGGCTCCTGGCACTGCTTGACCTGGCACCTCTGGCCCTGCTGCTCCTATACCTGTCTTGTTCCCAGTGTGAGGTTTGATCACAGTGGGCCCTGAATGTCAGTAGTGTGAATGAACTCTATGCTTATAGGAACTAAAGCAAGTTAGGGAAAACATCAAAAAATGTGTTAAAATCCTCAAAGTGTGCTATATATTCCTCACTGTTGTTTATACAAAAATGGCTTATTCCACTAGCTTTATTTATTTATTTATTTATTTTTTGAGTGCGATAGTGCGATCTCAGCTCACTACAACCTCCACCTGCTGTGTTCAAGCAATTCTTTTCCCTCAGACTCCCAAGTAGCTGGGATTACAGGCACGTACCACCAGGCCCAGCTAATTTTTGTATTTTTAGTAGAGATGGGGTTTTGCCATGTTGACCAGTCTTTTCTTGAACTCCTGACCTCAGGTGATCCACCCACCTCAGCCTCCCAAAGTGCTGGGATTACAGGCATGAGCCACCACACCCGGCTTATGGTTCTAGTAATTCTTACAGCTCTTGCCCCTTGGAATCGTTGCTTGCCCTATAGGGCTGTCTGCATAGAGGTCATGTGTCCACCAGAGCCAACTGCAGTGAGTGGGGATGGTGCCACCTGGTAGGATGCTCCCTCCCTGGGGCTGGCCTACTTGGCTTCCCTCTTGGGGTGTTTAGAGCCAAGGGTTTACTTGAGGCTCCCCATCCTTCTTTAGGACTACTTTGCAATACTGATTTCCTAACTGGGGCAGACCCTTCACTTAGCAGTGTTCTGAAACCTTCCAAAACTCAGAACTGGCTTCCAGAAACTTACACACAGAGGTTTCTGCAAAAGAGACCTGTACTCTTTCAGACTTTTTTTTTTTTTTTTGAGACAGTGAGTTTCACTCTTGTTGCCCGGGCTAGAGTGTAATGGCGCGATCTTGGCTCCCTGCAACCTTTGCCTCCCGGGTTCAAGCAATTCTCCTGCCTCAGCCTCCCACGTAGTTGGGATTACAAGCATGCGCCACCACGCCCGACTAGTTGGGTATTTTTAGTAGAGACAAGGTTTTACCATATTGGTCAAGCTGGTCTTGAACTCCTGACCTCAGGTGATCCACCTGCCTAGACATCCCAAAGTGCTGGGATTACAGGCATGAGCCACCGTGCCTGGCCTTCTTTCAGACTTTAAAAGAAGATACTATGCTGGGCGTGGTAGCTCATGCCTGTAATCCCAACACTTTGGGAGACCAAGACAGGAGGGTAGCTTGAGACCAAAAGCTGGAGACCAGCCTAGGCAACAAAGGGAAACCCCTCGCAAAAATTAGCCAGGCATGTTGGTGCTTGCCTGTAGTCCCAGCTACTTGGGAGGCTGAGGCAAAAGGATCCTTTGAGCCCAGGAGTTCAAGGCTGCAGTGAGCCATGATCATACCACTGCATTCCAGCCTGGGCAAAGTCATATAAATAAATAAAAATGAATAAAAGGCTGGAGATGGGGATTGTGGTGCATACCTATAATCCCAGCACTTTTGGAGGCCAAGGCAGGTGGAGCATCTGAAGTCAACAGTTTGAGAGCAGCCTGGCCAACATGGTGAAACCCCATTTCTACTAAAACAAACACACACACACACACACACACACAGTAGCTGGGCATGATGGTGGGCACCTATAATTCCAGCTGCTCAGGAGGCTGAGGCAGGAGAATGGCTTAAACCCAGGAGGTTGCACTGAGCTGAGATCTTGCCATTGCACTTTAGCCTGGGCTCAAGAGAGAAACTCTGCCTCAAAAAAAAGAACAAAAAAAGATATCGGTATAAATTCCTGATTTACTACATATTTATTTTCCCCTATTCCCGTTACAGGTAGTCCAGGGGATCCTGCTCATCTCAGCTGTGCCAGCACCCTGGGGTTGAGGAGCTGCCTGTGAGTAAATCAGCGTCAGTCTGCACCTGTCTGAAAACAGGGCTTGGAAATGGTGGAGAGTCAGGAGTGACTTGATTTTTGAGGGAAACAGTGTATCCTATTTTCCTGTTCTTTGTTTCTTTTAAACCTTTATCTTTCCATGTTGAAAATGATTGTCACATGCCTCAGTGAATTTCGGAAGTGAATAAACATTCCTAATTTCAGGGCCCAGTTGCAGATGTTGTCCGTAGTTTGGTGTACAGTAAGTCTCATTTAATGTCTGTAGGTTCTTGGAAACTGCAACTTTTATTTATTTATTTATTTATTTTTGAGACAGAGCCTAGCTCTGTTGTCCAGGCTGGAGTGCAGTGGTGCAATCTTGGCTCATTGCAACCTGCCTTAGCCTCCGGAGTAGCTGGAATTATAGGCATGCTCCACTCTGCCTGGCTAATTTTTGAATTTTTAGCAGAGACAGGGTTTCACTGTGTTGGCCAGGCTGGTCTTGAACTCCTGACCTCCCGTGATCCTTCTGGCTCGGCCTCCCAAACTGCTGGAATTATAGGTGTGAGCCACCGTGCCTAGCAGAAACTGCAACTTTAAGGTCCTCGAATAACGTTTTTTTATAACTTTGGATGAGAAAAAAAATTGGTTTTCTTATAGGTCTTTTTGCTTAAATGCATTTTCTAAGAACCTATGGAAAATGTTAAGTGAGTACTTCACTGTATTTTATTCTGAACTTTAAGGAATATATCTGGTTTTTAACACATGCAGTTTTCTTTTTTTTCTTGTTTTCAAAACAGGTTCCTGCTCTGTTGCCCAGGCTGGAGCTCAGGGCACTACCATAGCTCATTGCAGCCTCAAACTCCCGAGCTCAAGGGATGCTCCCACCTCAGTCTCCTGGGTAACTGGGACCATGGACATGTGCCACCCTGCCTGGCTAACTTTTAAATTTTTTCTAGAGAAAGGATCTCACTTCGTTGCCCAGGCTGGTCTCAAACTGGCCTCTCAAAGTGTTGGTATTACAGGCGGGAGCCACCGCGCCCAGCCGGCACGTACAGTTGTTGTTGTTTTTTTTTCTATCTTTCTTTCTTTTCTTTTTTTTTTTTGAGGCAGAGTTTTACTCTGTTACCAGGCTGGAGTGCAGAAGCACAATCTTGGCTCACTGCACCTTCCACTTCCGGGGTTCAAGCAATTCTTCTGCCTCAGCCTCCCAAGTAACTGGGATTATGCCTGGCTAATTTTTGTATTTTTAGTAGAGATGGGATTTCACCATGTTGGTCAGGCTCGTCTTGAACTCCTAACCTCATGATCCGCCCGCCTCAGCCTCCCAAAGTGCTGGGATTACAGGCGTGAGCCACGATACCCGGCCTGTTTTGTTTTTTTAGACAAAGTCTTTGCTTTGTCACCCAGGCTAGAGTGCAATGGCAATCTTGGCTCACTGCAGCCTCCGCCTCCTGGGTTCCAGCGATTCTCCTGCCTCAACCTCCTAAGTAGCTGGGATTACAGGCGCCCACCACCACCCCTGGCTAATTTTTGTATTTTTAGCAGAGACAGGGTTTCACCATGTTGGCCAGGCTGATCTTGAACTCCTGACCTCAGGTGAGATCTCCACCTTGGCCTCCCAAAATGCTGGGATTACAGGTGTGAGCCACCATGCCTGGCCTAGCACATGGCAGTTTTAATCACAGCCTGCATACAGTTTTGTGCACTTGGTTTGCAGTCTCTCTTATTCTTCACACAGTTGCCATTTTTCGTGGCTTTCCACTAAAAATAATATTTGTAAAAGGTGTTTTGGATGTGCCAGGCAGTGTTGTGGGTGTGGGCATCCACCTGTGAACACAGAGCAGACTCTGCAGGTGCCTGCAACCATGGGGTGTAGGTGTGGCATTCCCGTGCCCGGCTCTGGCTTAGCCCTTCCCTGTGGCAATCACAGTCTAGCAAGATGGCAAGTAATATCAACACGTGGTGACAGCATGGCATAGAGACTGTGGTGCCACCGGGCTGGCAGGCCAGGCCAAGAGGGCTTCCTGGAGGGAGTAGCACCTGCAGCCCCTGTCCTGAGCTTGGTTTGAGGCTGCCATGCTCTTGCATGCTGTCCCTCTATCTCGCCTGTGTGAGGAGAGATTCTCATTCTCTCCTGGGCTCTCAAGTTTAGAAAGCCACAGTAGCACTCATCTCCTCTCCTGACGTTTCTGCTTCCTGCGTGGGAGAGCGGGACTGAAATACCCTCCTCCTACTCCAAGCCCTGTCCCTCTGGCTGCTCACTCAAGGCTGCTGATGTATCTCATCAGCCGTGAACCTCCTCTGTCTGGTAGTTCCTGAGATTTAATTCCCTAAAGTAAAAACAACTCACATGTGAAAACCTGGCCTTCCTTAAACCATAGCTTCAGCTGTGTGGATTTGGAGAGTACTGCCGTAAGCAGCGGAGCCACGAGGGAGCGTGTTGGTGGCTGGAGTCCCTGGGCACACGAGTGGTGTTTGCTGTAGACACTGACAAAGCCTCTGTTGGCCAGCGTAGTCCCATCTCTATGTGTGTACTCTCACCAGGCCTTCCCTCAGCCTTGCCACTGCCATAGCATCAGCCTTAGCTTTCCGTTAGATTTTTCTTCTTCTTTTTTTTTTTTTTTTTTTTTTTTTTTAATTTTTTTGAGACAGAGTCTCGCTCTTGTTTCCCAGGCCAGAGCGCAACGATGTGATCTCGGCTCATCGCAAAGTCTGTCTTCCAGGTTCAAGCGATTCTCCCGCCTCAGCCTCCCAAGTGGCTGAGATTCCAGGAATGTGCCCCCACGCCCGGCTAATTCTGTATTTTTAGTAGAAACGGTGTTTCACCATGTTGATCGGGCTGGTCTCAAACTCCCAACCTCAGGTGATCTGCCCACCTCGGCCCTCTTTTTTTCTCTTCTTTTCTTATTTTTTCTGAGTTGGAGTCTCACTCTGTTGCCCAGGCTGGAGTGCAGTGGCATGATCTCAGCCCACCACAACCTCCACCTTCCAGGTTCAAGCAATTCTCCTGCCTCAGCCTCCTGAGTAGCTGGGACTACACTAATTTTTGTATTTTTAGCAGAGACGGGGTTTCACCATGTTGGTCAGGCTGGTCTCAAAGTCCTGACCTCATGATCCACCCGCCTCAGCCTCCCAAAGTGCTGGGATTGCACGTGTGAGCCACCACGCCTGGCTGCTGCCGCCGCCATTTTCTTCAGTGATGTCTCTAGCAGGTGTTCCTCCCAGGGGACCAGTTCCCCCAAACCTCATCTCTCTGGACCTTCCTTTGATTTCTTGTCTATCCTCCTCCTCAGTTCCTTTAATTTCTTGTTTAGACATTTTAGTTCTAAAACACTCTTTTTGGGATTGTAACTGAAATGTCATTAAACCCATCAAGCCACTTGGGAATATTCCATTTATTTACTTATTTATTGAGACAGGGTCTCATTCCGTTGCCCAGGCTAGAGTGCAGTGGTGCAATCATGGCTTACTGCAGCCTTGATCTCCCAGGCTCAAGCCATTCTCCCACTGTAGCCTCCTGAGTATCTGGGACTACAGGCATGTACCACCAGCTGCTGGGATTTGCTGGGGGAGGTTACTGTGGTGAGAACCAGGCCCACCACACCTTGCTAGTGTGTGTGTGTGTGTGTGTGTGTGTGTGTGTGAGTGAATGCTGCTGGGATTTGCTGGGGGATGTTACTGTGGTGAGGACCAGGCCCACCACACCTTTCTCATTTGTGTGTGTGTGTGTGTGTGTGTGTGTGTGAATGCATGCTGCTGCGGGCACGCCCAGCTCTGCATGGCTCCCTGCCCTCGCCGAGTCTGCCCTGTGCTTCCCTGGTCTGGTTTTCCGAGTCTTCGTCTTTGCCTGTCGATACCTTGTGACTGCTGGCACCATACCTTCTTGTGGAAGCCACCGTCTTCCTTACTAACTGAGGGTTGGAAAGTCGTGTAATTCAGCTTGATGCAGGGAGGAGGTGTGTTCAGTGCGTGGGCTCTGTCATCACCCACGCTGGAAGGTGAGGCCACCTCACAGAAGGAACACAGCCTGGTCAGGGGGCAGGCTGAGCCTGCGTGGGCTCTGCTGCATTCTGTGTGGCCTGGCTCTCGGCATGCCATGACTCAGGGCTGCCTGGATTCGGAGCCTTTTCCTGGCTCAGAGGTGACCCCACAGCTGGGGAGAACCTGGAGACATGGTGGATGGGGCTAGGTCAGGGCCTGAAGGAGAGCCTGGAGCTGCCCTCACAGGATTTGGGGAGGTGACCAAGGGCGGGGTGCCTGTCCTCTGCCCCACCCCTCCCAGGCCTCACTGGTATCCACCAGGCACTTTCCATGTGTATTTCCATGTTTCCTGTATTCTTCAGAATCTCTCCGTGAGTTCAGTGTTGGGTTTGCATGTCTGTAATTGAGGGAAGATTTCAAGCCTGGGAGAGTTCTTGGGGGAGGTCCCCACACTATGACTGGTGCCACAGTGGAGCCCCAGCCACTCGGGCTTCTGATCCTGATACATGTTCACTCGAAGCTGCTCTGGTCTGGTGGTGCCCTGTGCCAGCTACACTGCCCTCTCTGGGTGCGAGCTGAGGCAGGCCTGTGCCTGCAGGCCTCCAGGATCCCCATCAGAGAAACAGACAGTGGGTCTGGAGTCTCCACCTGGCCTGCAGCCCTGATCGGTGGCTTCTCCCATGCCGCAAGGGGGTGGTAATCACAGCAGCCATGTCAGGACATTGGTGGTGCATGCTTCCATGCTGCAGGTACCATCCTGGTACTTAGTATCTGTTAACACAAATTCATGACGGAGGCTCCCAAAGCACAGAGAGGTTAGGTTACTCAGTTGAGGTCACACAACAGTAAGTTGTGGAGCTGGAATTTGAGCTCCAACAGCGTGTTTTGGAGCTTGACCTCGCTGCTGGCATCAGGCCAGGCATGGAGGGCCGATGGAGGCAGAAGGAGCTCATGTGCCACACATGTGGCCTTTGAGGTGAGCTGGGGCCACCGGGGGGATTTGTGCCCAAGCAGCAGGGGAGTTTCTAGTGTGCCAGGCAAGACATGCAGGAGACCGTGAGCCTGAAGGGGCCTGACACAGGTCAGCTGTTCCAATTTTGGACTGTAAGTGGCGTCACAGCACTGCCCTGAGGTCAGACCATAGTCTCTGTGTTGCACACAAACGCTAGGTTCTGGGCCAGGCACAGTCCATGCTGCAGAAGCTCAGGCTGCAGTGGCTTCCTCACGGCCTCTCTGTGGGTGGATATGGTACAGGCGGCTGCTGGGACCAGTGCAGCTTGGACCAAGATGGGTCTGGGTTAGTGCCAGCCTCCTGCTGCCGCCTGCGAGGCCTGGTGTCTGGCCCTCGGGAGCCCACGTTCCAGTGGGGAGAAGGCAAGTGTGGTGCACACAGTGTGCATCTGGTCTCTAAGACAGCCAGGTGTCAGCAGGGCACCTGCTAGGAGGGCAGAGTGATGGAGTGGTCAGGGAGGTCTCAGTGAAGCAAGGGTGTGAGCTAGGGATGTCCAAGCAGGGGGACAGCTGAGAGGCTCTGGGCTGAGAGCCTGCTGGTCCCGGACACAGTGGGCGGGTGGGTAGAGGAGGAGATGGGCCTTGGGCCTTATTCTTTGGATTTTGCTGTTTTGTGCTGGTATTTGTGGGCAGCTAGTGTGGAGATGAGGTCAGCAAGCGCCCTTGCTGATTTGTAGGACTTGCTCAAGAGCCACAGGTTTTTCCAGAAAGTCACCTGCCGGAGGAGAGGACCTCCAAACTGAACAGACTCTCTACTCTGCACCATATTCCCCCATGAAGTGCCAAAACAATGCACCCTACCTCCCCAAGTCACTGGGCGTGGGGGGTGTGAGGCCCACCTAGGGATCCAGCCTTTGCTGATTGTGCCTGTGTCTGACCTGCCCTTCCTTCTGTGGGGGCCGGCGAGCCCATGCTGCTGTCCGACGGCGTGGGGCTGAGGGGCTGCACACTGTCCTGGTCTCCCTTCTGAAGGGCTCCCCAGGGGCAGTGCAGACATCAGGGAGTAGGTGGGGTTGTGTGTGCTTGTGGCATGATGTGGCACAAGGCATGTGAGTTTTGCTGCTGTTGGTGTTTGGTGCTGAGCTGTCGAAGGCTGGTACTGGCTCTTACCAGTGTTTTCACTCTTCCCCTTTCAAGGAGTGTTCCGTTGGGCTGCTGTGCTCCCATCCACCCCGTGTACCCGTACTTCAGAGGCGATCACCTTGGCTGTTGGACTCTGAGGCCCGACTACCTTCGCACAGTGCCGAGAGTGCCATGGACCTCCACCTCTGTGGGTTTTGTGGTTGTGGGACCTCAGTGCCTCCCTGTGCGCGGCTGGCACTCTTCACGTCCTGTCAGCGATGACTCGTTAGTAGAGAAGTCCCTCAAGTCCTTGAAGGACAAGAACAAGAAGCTGGAGGAAGGCGGCCCTGTGTACAGCCCCCCCGCAGAGGTGGTGGTGAAGAAGTCCCTTGGGCAGAGGGTGCTGGACGAGCTGAAGCACTACTACCATGGCTTCCGCCTGCTGTGGATCGACACCAAGATCGCGGCACGCATGCTCTGGCGCATCCTCAACGGCCACACCCTGACCCGCCGGGAGCGCAGGCAGGTAATGGGGACCTGTCCAGTCCTTTCTATTTTTTCTTGCTCTGTCACGCAGGCTGGAGTGCAGTGGCGCATGATGGCTCAGTGCAGCCTCGATTTTCTGGGCATGAGTGATCCTCCTGCCTCAGCCTCCCAAGTAGCTGGGACCACAGGCATGTGCCACCGCACCTGGCTAATTATTTTTTGTAGATCCAGGGTCTCACTTTGTTGCCCAGGCTGGTCTCAAACTCCTGGGCTCAAATGAACCCCCCACCTCAGCCTCCTAAAGTGCTGGGATTACAGGCGTGAGCCACTGTGCTTGGCCATGCCCAAATTCTTTTCACTGTATAGGTTGGTTGAAAAATATTTTTAGGGCTTGCCTTCTGTTTGATAGAGATAAAAAATCAGTAAAATCTATTGCCTAGGAAAACCTCGCTCTACCCGCTTCCTCTACCCTCCACCACAGCAGTCATCAACACAGAAGACCACACAGCAGACACCCGCTGCGTGTCCTCTAACCCAGTTCCGACACCATCTGCACGGAGATAGCGTCAGATCCCACGGGCTGAGGGCTCCGTCCCCAAGATGCCCCCCACCAGTCTCAAGTCCAGACTGCTCGGAGCTTCTGATGGACTGGCTTCAAGTTAGGGTCCCACCACCCCCTCTTTGTTTTTATTTTTTGAGACAGAGTCTTACTCTGTCGCCCAGGCTGGAGTACAGTGCCACGGTCTCTGCTCACTGCAACCTCCGCCTCCCCAAATTCAAGTGAGTCTCCCACCTCAGCCACCTGAGTAGCTGGGACTACAGGCATGCACCACCACACCTGGCTAATGTTTGCATTTTTAGTAGAGAGGGATCTCACCATGTTGGCCGGGCTGCCCTCAAACTCCGTGCTTCAAGTGGTCTGCCTGCCTCAGAAAGTGCTGCGATTGTAGTTGTGGGCCGCTGTGCCCAGCCCCCTCTTTGTTTTTAAATTGTTTTAATTTTTTATTTTTGTGGGTACGTAGTAGGTATATGTATTTATGGGGTACATGAGGTGTGACACGCCTCCCCCTTTAGGTTCTATTAATTTGCTGGAGTGACTCACAGAACTTAGAGAAACACTTTCCATGTGTATTTCCATGTTTCCTGTATTCTTCAGAACCTCTATAACGGATTTTCTATAAAGGATGGTGGGCCGGGCGCGGTGGCTCAAGCCTGTAATCCCAGCACTTTGGGAGGCCGAGGCGGGTGGATCA